AAGATAATTTGCTGAAATTACACTTTTATGAAATTTTATGTAAGAGTGGTTGTAATAGAAACATAAAATTGAAACTACGAAAGCACAGGCTGAGGTGAAAATTCAGCAACATCGGCGTAATATTTATGAATAAATGAAAATAAAGTCATAATGATTATAATATTGTAGATAGCTGAAGAAAAATTATATGAACATTGGAAACAAAATAATCCAGATTTAAGAAAAGTGGAATCTGAACTACAACAAGAAGATGTTATCAATAAATGGTCAGATCAGATAGTTGAACAAGAGGAGGTAACGATTTAATTTTTCTTTTCTTACCTAGTTACTTCAAATCAGTGATGCAGGTCAGTACTTCCCATCAGTGATGCAGGTCAGTACCCCCTGTCAGTGATGCAAGTCACAGGGAAAAGTGCCTTACCACTGGGATTGGGCAATAAACGAGGCTCCACTGTACTTACGTTTTTAACACAATATCTAAACTGAGCTACAACCTACACCCAATTGGAATATGTTGCTTTTCTCCTTTATAATTGTGAAAATCCTTGTTTTTCAGAAATTATTATCAGCACGACTAGAGGAAAAGGAATTTGAAAGACTACAAGAAGAAAAAAGACAAGCAGCTTTAGAAGAAGAGAGAAAAAAAGAAATGAAAAGACTACAAGATCAGAAGAAATTAAAACAAGTTTTAGAGGATCAAATGAGAGAGCTAAGACAGAGAGAATCTGAGGTTAGTTAAAGGGATTATACCAGTTACAAAGTTCAATTTTTAATTCTCTATCAGGTTTAAAGGAGATCTTTAAAATTATTTTTTTTGGATAGGAACTGAACTTAAAGAATTGTTTTTTTTTTTTAGATAATGGCAAAATATTTTTTAGGTAAGAAAAGAAAGTTGAAGAAAAAGAGAATATAATGTTGCTGTCCTAGCTAATTTCCTCCATTGCACACTCTGACTATATTGCATTGCCTGTCTTCATTTTCCCAAGATGGCTGTAAAATTTAAGTTAAAACTCTGTTTCATTCCATTTGTTTCAGAGTGAAAGAATTAAAAATGAACAAGAAAGTTTAGAATTAGAACAGTGGAATTTAGAAAAGCTGGAAGAAAGTAGAAGATTGAAGGAAGAACAGAGGAAAAAACAAGATTTTGGGTAAGGTTGTGCCTCACACACTCAAGTTGTACATGAAACTGTATCTGTGATTCCAGACTAAAGAAAATTGCTTTTGTAACAAGTACAGTTCTCTAGCCCTTCAAGCATCCATATTGGGTTTTTTATAGCAGAGTGAACCACTATTTTGAAGCAAGCATTCCATATATACCCT